AGTATTATGCACGGTAAACTATTATAGGTACATACAACAATAGCTTATTATAATAAATCAATTTATTTTTATCTAGCCATATACATTTAACAACCATATTATACATAAAATTAACATTAACAAAGTAAACGTGTATTATCTGTATAAAACTTGAAGACATATTATTCAAAACACTGTATCTCAGAGTTTCAACCATAGAGATGTAAGCACACGGCAGCGCGAACATGAGCCACAATCTTGCAATATAAACAACGAGAGAGATGGATAATAGATACTTTTCTCTATCTCTTTCTAGTCAAGCTGTGTGGTTGGCTGGGGAAATTTCTAACCTCTTGCCGCTTCTACGATCAAAACCAACCCCACTTACGATAGCCAATCGCAGCTTAGCTAAAAAGAGACAAAAGGAACTATCGGGCATCCATCTTTCTCATTGCCTGTATCGCTTCCACTTACAGGCAGCTGTACCTCGTGTTCTATCTATGCTTATATCTTTATGGTTTCAACTAATCTCGCATAAACTTACACAGCTGGAACACTGTAATTTCTTTCACAGTGTTATGCCACATAACAAACTATAAATGTAACTAAAAATGTGTTTTTTCATCATCATCAACAGCCTATAATAGTCCACTGCTGGACATAGGCCTCTCCTTAGAAAGGAGGTTTTAGCCTATTATACCACGCTAGCCAGACGGGTTGTTGGTTTGTATAGGGTTTGTTTCAAGTTTTCCTTCCTGTGCAGTTTGTTCCCTTAGTGGGCTCTTGCGACAACCACGGGATGAATAGGGGTGGTGACATTCACCACACGGACGCCAATGTGTAATGTGTTTTTTATATGCTCATATCTCCGTCTACATACTATGTAACGAAAAAATATTAAGATAGGGATATGTAACTGATTCGAAATAATCAAATGAGGACTATTTAGGCATTATAGCATCATTAAAAAACCACGACACAAAAAAATAACTTTAAAAACCAATAACTGCTCATTGTGACTTTTCTGATAAGTCCAAACATGGCATATATGCTGTAATTTTCTGTGGATGCAGCAGCAATTTTCAGATTACCATGTCGTGGAAATACCATCAAAGTAACAGTATACAAAATTTCAGTTCAATCGGACCTGTGGATTTTAGTGAGATACTTTCATCACCTAGGAAGTGAGCGGACGATCTTCAAATTTTGTAGCTAAGAATCATCTCGATCACATCAGCTTTCTAACAAAAAAATCTGCATCGAAATTGGTCCATCTGTTCGGAAGCTATGATGCCCCAGACAGGCAGATACACAGATACACAGCTTAAACTTATAACACCCCTCGTTTTCCATCGGATATTTGTATTGTGTATTGGATTTATACGTCAGAGCTGAGCCGTTTATTCATTTGCTCCCTTCTTCCTCCGAGCCTTCTTCTCAAACTAGGTTGGGGTCGGGTTTAAGTCTACTACGATACGGCAGAACTTCGATTTTTTACGGGGAGCGACTGCCATCAGACCTCCACAACCCAAGTACTAGACGATATCGAAGTTCTGTGGAAATACTGTTGTCGGGCCTTTTAGGTCTCCAACTACTCCACTTTTTTTTTTGTTGATGGAGTGGAAAATCCCTTCGGATGTGGAAAATCCCTTCGGATCTCCGGCTCCTTGGGGATATAGGAGCCAGGAGTATGTGGTGATTCCACTAAAAACCACTCCGACGGCCAGCCTTAGGCGCCCTGCTCTGGGGAAAATGTGGCCGGGCCATGTGATTTCAGGTCCCCCAGATCGACGCCGCACCTAACTAGGCCCCATCTCCGGGAAAGCCAGTGGCTTCTCCCTGCCTCTCAGCCTATAAAGATGTTGCAGCCCGATCACATTTTCAGTGCGATCAGGCTGCCATCCTTTCCCCTACCGCAGCAATTAATCTGCCACCAGAGGTCCCCACTCTCTGGCATACCGCGGTCCCGTCGGCTGCTCATTACGCCGTCGACGTCTTCTTCGCTCGGGATCGGCCCTCTCCCGATCCCGTTCAGCGGTCTCTTTCTGGAGCATTACAGCTTCACAGAAAGAGACCACTGCGACCCAGCCCTCCTCATCCGCCAGCATGGCAGTAATGATTGCTGGCGGGGACTAACGATTGCCACGGCTAATTAATGGCTGACCATCCTTAACACATTGAGACCCCCTCAATGTGTTAAGAATGTTTAGCCATTAATTAGAATGACCTGGCTAGGATTGCTTAACATTGCTCAAGTGTTAACCTACTAGGTTACCACTCATTTGTTCCCTACAAATTAAGAAAACCCTCAAAAGGTACGAACCCATTCAAAATGAAATTTACACCGAGTTATGCAATAAATGTAGGTACGAAGGCTCAATATCTTCTGGTAATGGAATTCCATCGATTTTCATTAAGAAATTCTATCTGAGCGCCCTGAATATTTGCGTCGAGAATGGTACTTGGTGGATATTGTATTGGGTATTGTAGATACTTAGACTGGCCAAATAAATATTTGTCTTGTTGTATGTGTGATGAAACAATACTGTCTAATTTAAAAGAAATCCCATATGCTTTATTTGTACATGGCAGTTCTTTCTGTAAAGAAAATGGTGACTATTACTTGGCTTAGAATTTTAACTGATACCAGGCCTACCGTGAACTTTTATTGCGATCGAATTGATTTTTTTATTTATTTATTAAATTTATTTAGGTTTATGTATGCATGTGTGTTTATATATTGTGTATGTTTCTGGACCTAAATTATGTTAAATTTAATATTTCATCTTTGCACCTACCGCATCATATTTCTACATCACCTGAAGGTTGACTGGGAGAGAATGCCTTTTGTGTTAGGCGGACTTAATGCCATTGCATTAAGTCCGCCTTTGTACAATATGATTGTGCATTAAGTTTAAAATTGAAGTAAAATAAATAATGACAACCAGTTAGTTACTGATACATTAAATCTTATGCATATGAAACAACAATTTGACTAAGAACTAACTTAAATGTAAAGCATATTAAGATGTCACTACATGCACTAATAGTAACACAAGTGAAAGTAAAATAAAAAATAAAAAGACGTGTGGCACTCGGGGACTGCCGCGGTAAAGCTATTGCATAGAATTTTTTATCAACTTAGTATTTTGCCCGGCTCCGGAATCGAACCCACTAAGGCAGTGTTTTCAAATTCCACACGAACAAAGTCCCGGGTACAAGCTAAAAAATCTGTAGGGGCCAGATTGTTCGTCTCCTTTTCCCGGTCCAGACAAACCCAAACATGGGAGTCCAAGTGCTCCAGGTACCGAGAAAATCAAAGGGGGGATAAATGAAAAAAGTGGAGGGGAGAGAAGGGGAGGTATTTTGTAGGGACCTCATTGCAATTATAAAATTTTTGGTCTGGGTGGTATTGTATGTGGATGTTATTACATTAATAAAAATAAACTGGTTTCCCCCCTTTGTCATGTCAAAGGAACACCCTACCTTAAAAAGAGTTCTGCTATTAATCGATAGATGGCAAAACTAAAAAGTATCACCGCTGTGCCGGTCGGAGTGGGAGGTGTTAGGTAATTTTCGTTACGGAATTTCTGGATTCGGTCTCCACGCTCAAGGCCTGCGATAGAAGCTATGCAATAGCTTAAAATTAAACAATTAAAGATAAGTAACAGAATTAAAGAATAAAATTAGCAAAATAGATATTAAAAAGTAACAATCTCCAAATAGCTTTCTTGTAAGTGGGAAGTTACAAACACATCCACTTCTCCGCAATACACGTGAGAGACATGACTCTCATGAGTAACTCTCACGACGTGATAATCACTTTTGACCTCACTCATGACCTGTATGACTGAAATTGTTTTATTTTTAAAACATCAAGGAGCGTTACTGGGTAAAGATATTTGGGGAGTTTACAGCTACGATACAAGTACATTAGTAATTTAGTTAATGAAATGCCAATAACAAGCTTCCACAGATACACAAAAAACATTCTACTTAAGTTATATTCTATTTAAATAATTTAAAATGCAAATACATGCTGGAATATAAAAATGAAAAGACATACAGAGAATAATATGTTGCTACTCGGATATCATCAGGCGTCTGCAATTTAAATCTGTTATTATTAGGTTGTAATTTTAATTATATTATGAGATTTATTCACTTTTTATTTACGTATTATCATTTTAACCTTTAAAAAAGGCAATAATATAATGGTTTAGTTACCTTAGTTTTTCCACTACTTGAAAGAATGGCTGTAAAATGGTAACACTAAATTAATCAGGGAAATTAAATTAATCAAATAAGCTTATAATATTTTTCTGGTGTCGTACTGACTTAGACAATAGTTTTAAAAAACGTAGATATTTACTAGAATTAGTTTCCTATGATTTATGAATTACATTTTAAGACGCTCAAATTCAAATAAGAATTCTCCATTGTTCTTTAGGCGAAATAGTTCAAATCACTGACTGACTGCCTCGGTGGTGCAGTGGTTGCATATGCGACTGCTAAACTGAGGTCTCGGCTTCGATTCCCGGGTCAGACCAAATATTTGTATAATCTACAAATATTTGTTTCGGAGTTTGGGGGTTAGAAAACCCCCAAAAAGGTATATAATATGTATGTCTTTACAAAAAAAAGTATTTAAGTATTCTATCGGTCAATCTAGCTTTCATAGTACAAGTTTGTAAGTTAGTTTGAAATTAGATGGCGTTGTGTGTCAGATGTCCGAAATATTATATTATTACATTATGGTTACGGATTAAGAATATAGAGTGTCACCACCCCTATTCATCCTGTGGGTGTCGTAAGAGGCGACTAAGAGAACAAACCAACCCGCCTGGCCAGCTTGGTATAGTAGGCCAAAATCTCCTTTCTAAGGAGAGGCTTATGTCCAGCAGTGGATTATTAAGGGCTGTTGATATTATGTATGGCAACACATACGTTTTGGCGACTATTTTTAGGCATCATAACAAATACATAATGCGTAATAAGAGATACTGTTTATTTTTTTCCAGTTTCCAACATGTCCGAGGAACAGGAGCAGGTCCGTTGTTCGTCCAGTGAGAGCGAGAACTTTGAGAAGATCGAGTCAGAAGAAGCTGGTCGGGATGAAGGAGTAAGTACTTTCTAGTCTAGTCCTAACAAGGATACATACGTCATTGCCATCTAGCGAATGCAAACTGAACTGCTTAACAATACTGTATCGCACAATGAAAGTTCTCGGCTCATCATCTATGGAAAGTTTAAATAAAAAAAAGCCGGTCAGGTACGAGTCGAACTCGTGCGCCGAGGGTTCCGTACCTACCCAGATTTTACGTAGATTTTCGAAATTTGCCCATATCTATTTATCGTGTTGACTCAGGACCTTGATTTTTACACACCTAATAGGGACCATAGCTCAGTATCTGGTATAAATTTCAACTTGCTAGGTCTACCCGTTCCTGAGAAAATCGATGGTGACACACGGACAGACGGACAAGAAAGTGATCTTATAAGGGTTCCCTTTTTACCTTTTGAGGTACGGAACCCTAAAAGTTACATTTGTAAAATAACTTCTAAAAATGATCTTTAAATGATTCTAAAAGGATTTTTCATCATCTACAGTTAGGGCTCAGAAGATTTTTTATTAAAATAATAATGACTTTCACTCTTCAGACCAGTGCAGTGACCGGACACTATAGTTTATGTAGGTAAAGAGCATAGACTGCCCATTATATTATTTTGACCGAAAACTCAGAAAAAATCAGTTGTATAGCAAAAATTTTTTGTCTTCTTCCAGAAATCCAACGCTGACTTCACTGTTGGGGAGGAATCAGAACAGGAACATCCCGAAGATGGTCCTTCTCACGAGGGAAGAGATTCTTTTCCTAATGCCCCTCCTCCAAATATCAGAAGAGTACTCACTGTAGCACAGCAGCTCGCTCTAGCGGAGAAGCGGAGTAAACTTAGGTAAGTTGTTTCCTTTTAAAAATGATAGATGGCGCTATCAACAATATTTTGACTGCAATACATTTGTTACCTATCTAGCTTGAATCTACATCTTTACACTAATCTATGTATGTATTTATTACTTTAGCTTAAATTTAACATTTTCTTGAGTTTAGAGTTTATTATTTAAATAGTTTTTCGTTTTTATTTAATACGACTTAGGTTGCAAACAACTCTGCGGCCCTCTGAAAGAGGTGGCCTAGAGAAACTCATAGATAGCTAAACGGGTTATCATGGGCGTACCCATAGAATATAAGCATAGAGTGAACAAGATCCCCAATCTTGCAACATAGGTAACGAGAGAGGTAGATAATAGATAGATACCTCCAAGGGAGGGAACTATCGGGCATCCGTCTCTCTTGTTGCCTGTATCGCTTCCGCTTACAGGCAGCTGTACCCTGTTCTCTCTATGCTTATATCTCTATGGGCGTACTCGTCTTTTAGGACAGATGGTGAGGGGGCTGGAAAACATTTCTTCAGCAATATAAAGGGGTCAAATCTAAATTTGACTCCTTACTAGGACCAAGTACTTGGTCCTAGGACCATGTACCAAAGTACGCTCTAAACAGATTTTGGCATGGTGTACAATTAAACCCAAACTAGAAGTCCTAGGCTATTAATTCGTTGTCTACGGTTTACTGAGAATATACTCCTTAGTATTACATTATCTCCTGGAAATCAGAGAAAACGTCTTGACGGGATTAACTAAACTAACATTTTAACATTAAACCAAGATTTCGATAGAATTTCATTAATATTTACATCATTCTATGACATTCAAGAACCTTTTTGGAATACAATTATGGACCTTAAAGTTTGATAGATATAGCATGAGCGTGGTCTTGAAAAAGGTAATAACCTTAAATACACATTAAAATCAAACACACACCTATCTGCTACTGCATCTAGGCTAGCTATCTAGTTATACCAGATAAGGAATTCGCCAAGATTATAAAGATTAGACAGGATGCAAACAAAACAATGAAGCAATATAATATAATAATTATATGCCTCTAAATCTCAAAGCTAGAAGTAGTAAAAAAGGGGTGAGAAACTTAAAATCTTCAATTTGGATTTGAGTTTTGACGAGATTAAGAGGTGTTTGTTTGTTAATTAAAGGCAGTACCTAATATAAAAACACGGCACAAGATACGAGATAAAAATCTTTACTATTATTTTTTATTGACACAAACACTATACCAACCCGTCTGGCCAGCGTGGTATAGTACTCCAAAACCTCCTTTCTAAGGAGAGGCTTATGTCCAGCAGTGGACTATTAAAGGCAGTTGATGTGATGTGTGATGACATTAAATTTTGCTTTGGACAGTTTATAATACTTCTCACTGTAAATTTAAGTCGTGACACGAGGTCGTATTAGAGTTGAGAGTTGAAGAAAGAGAGGTCTCTCTCTCTTACTTCAAGTCTGATATGACCGACGTGTCGTGTCACGACTATTAAATTTCTAGTTACTATTAGGGTTCATAATTTTCTATACATAGTTTAAAATAAAGTCGCATATTTACGAGTACGTTGTACGCTGAGATCTTTTAAACTAAGCAACAAATTTTAATGTGGGTTTCACCTATAGAGAGATTGCTTCAAGGGGAAGTTTTATATGTAAAATACATCCATGTCAGAGTAAAGAAAATCCAAGAATATCTAAGATTTGAAAAAAAATATGGTTTTTCGCGCTTACATTGCAAATTCTGGGTAATCCTTACAAGATAGACCAAAATAATGTACTACGTAATTGTATACTTTAAAAAGATCTACAAAAAATCTGTGATGGTATACGTCTATCTCCTAAGGATAACCCACAGTAACCATTTGTATCTTTTTATTTCGAAAAAGACAACTCCGCACTAGGAATATATCCCGTGTCGCGGGGGACTTTACAAACATACATGAAACGGACACAAAGAATACCAATACTCAGAACAACAATTTGTGGATCACACAAAGTGATGTCCCATGAGGGGATCGAATCCAAAACACTTTAACGCAGTAGGAAGCGTCGCCGGTGACCGCTTAAACCACTACGCCATCCGTGCAGTCTTTTAAATATTACAAAAAAATAATGGGTTTTATTACGCAGCTATTTTAAACAATACATTATTATTCCTTTTCCAATTAAATACGTTAGATACGTTGTCCATTTTACAGCATATCATTAAAAAGAATATTTTAGAAGAAATTAGAGGATAAAGGGCCGTACGTCCGTCGCATAGATTATAATGTATGTCCGTCGCGGGTGGCAGCAGCCGGCAGGATCGGAGCGGGACTATAAATATTCTTCACCTAATTGTTCTACCTACACCTAGTTGTTTTTTGTTGATCACAAAAATGTTCTTCACCTAATTTGATTTAGCTGGTATTGTCCAGGTTATAATTATAGCAGAAAATTATTGAAATACTAAAAAGAAATTCTATGAGTATTAAATCGTTTTATTTGTATCACCTTTTGTGACATTGCATTAAAACAGCGTATTTAAGAAACTTCAAACACTACGTCAAAGCATTTTGGAACACCGACTGAACCATTACCATTACCATTGGTATTTCTTTATCTTAGGACTGAACATAGAACTGTCAGTGTGCGTCAATGTCAATTTGGTTATGACGTTTCGTTGATGTTTGTCTATCGATCAATGTTTTTGATTCTGCGTTTAATAGTAGTTCTGATAGTTTTGTTTTATTTCTTTCATTACTACTATGATCGTCGTGGCGTATCGAGATATTCTTTTGTTTGTAGACGCCGGCCGGCGTTCATACTGCTAGTTAAAAATGGATCGAAGAGGCAGTGTGACTTCAGAGAGTAGTCGGTGGTGTATCAACTCTTCACTAACCCCACTTCGATAACCCCCGCACTAAGATTACGAGTATATCCTGTGTTGCAGGGGACTTCTATGAATATGAGGAGCAGTCATTTTTGATTGTACCTATATTGTAATGTTTGTAAAAGCTAATATATTTACTAATATACCTAAAAAATAAATGTTTTATCTTACTAACGATTACAAATTCTTCATTTGTGTTACCTTGTTAGCAAATGAGTGATTCACTGATAGAAATCGAATTGATACACGTAGTAGATTGTTTGTTTTTTGAGGAAAAGACTTAGGCATCACGATTTTAACAGTCATAAGGTCTTCTCCAGGGTAGGTCTAGCTAGGTAGAGGGTATAAAATACCCGCCCGCAATATGTAACGTGAGCGTTAGGTACGTCATAAACCGATAAAATGTTGACAGCTGTCAATTGATGTCAAAATAAGAATAGTTAGTAAATAAAATAATTTAGCCAACAGTTTTTTCAGTCTGGTTACAGTAGTACAGGCTCAGCCTAGTTTGGGATCAGATGGCTGGTGTGTGAGATGTGTAAGGTTATTACACATCTCACATATCGGCCTATTACTCTATAAAATACTGGCAATTTCTATGTTAGCGAAAGGGGCGGCAATTTAAAAAAGAATTTGACTTTTGCCAGTAGACCAAACTTTTTTGTGTCAAACGAAAGCCATGTTTCGACACAAACTGGCCGGCTATACAGGAGTGACACCACGAACCGAGCGAACATAGTCACGGGTACCAGCTAGTATTAAATAAAAAGATAAAAATAATCACACTGTCAAAATATTATATTAAAAATAATGTGTAATGTATACTATCTCATTCTCTCGCCGACTTACTCCTATATATTTATGTGTTTGTTTCTTTATCGTGACGCATTTTCGTTTCATCGATTTTCAAATCACAACAATTCTAAAGAAATTTCACTTCAACAATATTACCGCGCCATCTGTAAAACACTCTTTATCAACATTATACTTTTTCTTCTCTTTAAAAGGACAACTCTCACACTAGGAATGTATTTTGTTTCGCGGGGGACTTTACGAACATTCATTTGCTGTGTTGAGGTCTTGGGTTCAATTCCCGGGTCGGACCAAATGTTTGTATGATCTTGAAATATTTGCTTCAGAGTTTTTGTCTTTTCTGTGTATAATATGTATTTTTTTACATAAAAAAGCATATCTACCCGTCAATAGTACAAGCTCTACTTAGTTTGAAACTAGATGTCGTTGTGTCAGATGTCCGAAAATGTTATTATTTATTTAAACGAACACCAAGAACACCTAGACTCAGAACAACAATTTGTGAAAAACACTAAGTGTTGTTCAATGTGGGGATCGAACCCACAACACTCAGCGCAGTAGGAAGAGGCGAAGTGACTGCGTAAACCACTACGCCATCCGTGCAGCCATATGTGTAAATCGAACCTATGACACTAAAATAGATCGCATTTGGCGAAGTGCTGTTCTATCCGAGTTGGAATCTTTGATCTTCCAAAGTTCAAAGATTCAAATCCTAACCGATTGTCTTTGAAATTAATAACCACAGATTATTCTTTCCACTTTCCACTCTAGTAACAATGAATTGAACATCAAAACAAAACGTAACTAACTAGTTATCAAGTTGCAATAAGCGTTTTATTACATAATCGGTCACGGACAGCCATTGCTGTGACGTAATATGATTTCGCGCCCGTCAAAGAAGCCTTCAGTGAGTTCTCGACCGTGTTGATGGCAGACGTTGCTTACGGATTATAGTTAATCTGTGAATTCGAAATTCAAACATCGCGGTATTTATTTGGTTGTGATTAGACATGTCATTGAGTTAAAGTGGATTGTGAAGTGTTTTTCGCGCCATTTCTTTTTATAAATATTTGACGTTTTGTTTCGTTGGATTTTTTTCTAGGGTTGGGTAATATAATATTTATAGCTATATCAATATGTATTTGCTTAATTAAAATATTTAGGGATTAAATTATTTTCATGAAGGAGGAATAATTACGATTTATTCTCTTGTTTATAAAAATTTCGCACAATTAATTTATCTGTGCAATGAATTTTTATAGGGTGTAGATTAGTATAAATTAAAATATTTAAGCCGTTGGATTGGTTGAGTACTTAAAACGACTGTAAAAATATTTATGTTCAAATGATGCCAACAAAAACGTACTTGGTAATTGACTGACAAAAAATGAAGTGGTAAAAAGTTTTTAAACTGCATTATTCTTTTGTGTAACTCACTAAATGAGGAGTTTTGTTTTACAGTTATTATTAATGTTTAAGTAATTATTTTTTTAATATTTAATCAATATAAATAATCAATGATTTTATAAGACAGATTATTAATAAAACAAGTATATTTAATCTACACACTAAATATGTGAAATTTCTTTTATAGTTTTTTCCGACGAATAGTTTTTGTCGACCCCGGGGAGGAAGGGAGTTTTTTCCTACTATACCCGTAACTCTACTTTAATAAATGAAATACCTAAGCACTCAAAAGCCAGAAGGTGAGTTGCCCTCACTTGCCCCATGCTGATATAATCTATGACTTCATCTTAAATGTATTTAATTAAGGTTTAAAAACAGACAACGAATTTAACCTCAACCATTCCTCGTTCATTCAAGATGCTGTTGTACTATTAATGTCGCTTTAGAAAAAAAAAATTTGGATTCCGAATAATAGGTCCTGGCAATGTGTTTAGGGTTCCGTACCTCAAAAGACAAAACGGAACCCATATAGAATCACTTTGTTGTCGGTCCGTCAGTCTGTCTGTCAAGACCCTTTATCTCGGGAACGCGTGGAGGTATCGAGTTGAAATTAAAATTATATACTTAGGTCTACAGTCTCTTGAAGCTGTAGACCTCGTCGCGACCTTGATGCCGTAAAAAACGCATATTTCGACACTCTCAAGGGAATTAAAAAATTTAGGGTATTTTCCGTTAACCTAGAATTATGAAATTTGGCAAGTTATACCGTTTTATACTACAAGTATAGGAAACAATCTGAATTACTTTACATTGGTCTTTATGCAAGGAACGGCGGTCAAAATTTTAAATTGATTTAACCGTGTCATGTGGGTTATTCATTCTTTTTCCAGTCACCACTTCGTGTATATATTTGTAATATGGATTAAATTTGATATTTAAGTAAATACAAACCTATTTTTGAGAAATGTACCAACATTTTTTTATAATATATACCTACAAATTTGTCCGTGTGGTGACGGATTAAGAATACAGAGTGTCACCACCCCTATTCATCCCGTGGGTGTCGTAAGAGTCGACTAAGGGAGTAAACTACGCACTACAACAGCACTGCAGAGAGAAGGAAAACTTGACACAAACCCTATACCAACACGTCTGGCCAGCGTGGTATAGTAGGCCAAAACCTCCTTTCTAAGGAGAGGCTTATGTCCAGCAGTGGACTATTAAAGGCTGTTGATGATTGATGAAATTTGTACGGAACTTTTTTTTTATCGTGCAGCACCTTTGAAAATACCTTTGTTGTACCAGGTTGTTATGGCAGTTGTGAGTCACAACTGTCATAACAACTTGTGAGACCGAAAGTTGATCGGAACTGAATTGAGACCGAACTTTTATTACGAGAATTGGCCTTCTGGATCCTTTATTTTTAGTCCACGCGGTTTTATTGTCTAAGAAATATAACTTACTTAATTGAAATTATGATATAAGTACGTATATTATTTTTATTGTTACTCCATTTTCGTTTAATTTCAACCATTTTTATTATTTAATAATTTTTTATTTTTTTTAATGAATAGCAATTGAAATGAGTACGTTTATTAATTAACTCTTTTATAGAATTTCGTAATTAAAGTTTTAAGCTCTTGGCTTCGAATTTGTTTTTTTAATTTGAACACTTGGAAATTAACAATTGAGAATCTCTAAACTTTTCAAATAAGTTCAAAACAAAAACAAATAATTATAAAATCGTATTAAACCGAGATCTGTCGAAAAGTGGTAACATTTCTTTTAAATATATATTTATTTAACACCACTTAACGAATATTAACACCAACATAGAAAAAAAATGAAAACTGCTCAAAAAAAAAAAAAAACACTTGACACAATTGAGACGTGTTCCCTTATCCCATTCGGCCTATTTCGAATTTTGATAGAGATATATTAAATGTGTGTCAATCAAATTATCGGTTACACGTCAAATCATTACGGGGGTATCAACATAGTCATGATACATGTAATACTAACAATGGATGCCTAATCATTAATCATACAAAATCATTATATTTTTACGTTTACGGTTTTTCTAGGTGGGAACTTTTTTGGTAAATAAATAAAAAATTATGTGCATACATGGGAATTACCACGATCACGTAATAGATTATTATGAATTAAACGTCGGGACGTTTTTTTTAAACAATTCTTTTGTTACTTTTTAAGTAGTGAGTGAGGTCACCAGAGCCCATAAACTCTTCTCCCCCTATTTCTGGGGAGTGGGACTCATAGGACCTTGAAGTGACTCTTGAGTTCTAAGTATTAGTCACTTACCATCTGGTGACCCATTTGTTCGTTTACCCCTATAGTGTTAAAGACCGTGTGGTGACGGATTAAGAATACGGAGTGTCATCACCCATATTCATCCCGTGGGTGTCGTAAAAGCCGACTAAGGGAACAAACTGCACAGAACAATAGCACTGCAAAGAGAAGGAAAACTTGACACAAACCTTATACCAACCCGTCTGACCAGAGGGTGTAGTAGGCCAAAACCTCCTTTCTAAGGAGAGGCTTAAGTCCAGTATATGTACTCGTATGTGCTGTTCATTGGTGCCGCCAGTAACTTACCAGCAGGTGATCTATCTCGTTTGCCCCCCAATACAAAAAAATTGCTGATAAAACGAATAACATACTTTCTGGTAAAATACCAACAAAGAACACAATGTAAATAAATACAATTCCCGCTCTTTGCATGTAGTTAGCTATGACGAAGT